CTTCGCCCTTCACCTTTTAAGTGCTAGAATTGAAAGCTATGTCACCATGCTCAATTGTATGTGGTGCTGGGGATGGAACCCAAGGCTTCACGCATGCTGAGCAAGCGTTCTATCAACTGAGCTCCATCTCCAGCCCTGCCTCCAGCTTTCTGTTCTGGCTTCTTGCCTCAAACTTCACCCAGGTCTCATCCTCCCTTTATCTGGCCACCAGCGATCTTCCTCACACACAAACCTGGTAACCCTCTGCTACCGTGGTGCTTTTAGTAGCTTCTGAACACCTTGTGTTAGTTACTTTTCAATGCTGTGACTAAGTGTCTGAGGGGAATAATAAGGGGAGAAGGATTGATTTGGGCTCATGGTTCTAGAAGTTGCAATCCGTGGTCACTTGGCTGCATTGCTTCTGGGCTTGTGTGGTGAAACGGAGGGCAGAAGGATGTAGTGAGCAGAACTATTTACCTTATGGCAGCCAGGAAGTGGCAGGGGGTGGAGGTCTTGGGGCAAGAAAAACCCCTCAAAAGCACTGGTCTACTTCCTCCAATCACCCTTTAATAGTCCATCCAGCTATGGATTCATCAAAGGGTGAACCCATTGATGGAGTTAGTGCCCTCACTATCCAGTACCTCCAATAGCACTGCCAGTTGGGCACCTCCACACATGAGTCTTTTCAGGGGCCACATCATATCCAAGCCATAACCCACCTCTAAATAAAATGTATGCTCTTCTGTGTGACACTAGGGATACTTCACACTGAGGCTGGAGCTGGTCCTATCTCCTGCCCCAGCACCCCTTGGGCACCTATTATCCAGTCACAGCATGCTTCTCAACATGCCAGTTCATACACTCTGATAGCCACAGTTCTTCTACCTAATGAGTTCTCTGTGGGTGGTTCCTAAACATCTTTCCATGCCCAACTCTACAGCACCTCCCACAAGAAGCCTTCCCTGATGCCCTTGGGGAAAGGCTTGCCTCCTGTGGATGTCTGTAAACCACTTCTAGCTTGTATCACCTGCTACCCTGCAGTAAAATCACTTGTCCTAGCCTGGGAGATCCTTGAGACAGGGACAAAACTTGATCTGCCACTTTATCCCCAGCTCTTGAATCCTGAATGAATGGATAAAAAAATGAAAGCACAGACCTTGACCTCCGGGATTCAGAATCTTCATCCTTCATCTATTGGAGTTCTGAGAGACTGAATTGGAAGATGGCCTAAGAAAACTGAGCTCAGTACCTGAAAGCTGCATCCCACTGGTGGACATGGAGGGGCTGGGCCTGTGGACATCCTGGAAGTGGAAACTAGGGCAGGGTGAAGGGTGGTGTATGCATTCCCTTCATGTGACAGACCCTAGCACAGGCTTGCACATGAAGAAGGCCACAGAAAGAGTAACTGCATCCGTGCTCTTCTTCCTTCTCCCTCTCTCATTCTTACCCCACACACCCCATAATCCATCAACTCCTCCTCCAGGGGCAAAGCAAAGCATAGTCTGTTCCAGGGCACCAAATAGCAAGACCAAGGTGCCAATCACTTTGTGTAACTGTGACCAAGTACGTGAGCAAAACAACTTAAGGAGGAGAGATTTACTTTAGCTTACAGTTTCAGAGGTTTTAGTCTGCTGCTACTAAGACAAATGTTAGGTTTGGAACAACTGTTAGCACTAAAATGGCAAGATCAGGAATTCAGGGACAGAAAAATAAGAAAGTGTGTAGCTGAGTAAGAGACAGCCAAGTTAACTAGACAAGAGGACAGGCAGGGCTTTGGGAAAACCAACAAAGCCGACCTCAAGCAGACTTCAGCTGGCTCCCATAAAAGGAACTGTTGTCCTTTCCCCCAATAAACTTGCTCAACTTTATAGGTACTTACACCTTCAAACCTGTACCTGTATCTAATGCATCTAATTGTAACACAGTGAATTCTAAGAAAGCCTGGGATTTTTCTAGGTTAGGGACCACCTGGACTACCCTAGAAATAGGCAATGAAGGAGAAGAGAAATGGACTGAAACTTCTGAGTACTGCCATTGCAGATCAGCTGGGTCTGCCTGGTGCTTTGCTTTTGGTTACTGACCTGCTCAAAATAAACTTTGACACTACCTGATCTGCCTCTGCCGTGGTGTGAATTTTCCCATCCGGAGCACAAGAACAGAGTGTTGAGGCAGTTGGTGTCAGAAGAATATGGAAAGAAACATCTCCCTATCCATAGCAAGTCTACCATGGAAGAGCAAAGCAGCTCACATCACAGCAGGCAGAAAGCAGAGATGAATAACAGGAAGGGGTCAGCACAAATTACCTTCTTCAAAGCCCACCCCCAGGGGCCCACTTCCTCCAACGAGGAAGAAGTCCTTCCTTCCACAGTCCCAGCACTTCCCAACTATCTACTCTAATTTTGAATCCATGAATATCATCCATGAATTAGGTCAGAACCATCTAATCACCTATGGAGATCCCCCTCCCAGACACACCCACATGTGTGCTCTGCTAATCTCGTAAGTGTCTCTCAATCCACTTAAACTGAAAATTAAGTTTATTTTGGAGTGAGGAGATTGATCAGTCCATACAGGGCTTGTTATGTAAACATGAGGACCTGAGTTCAGTCCTCCAGGTAAAAACCAAAACATTGGGGCTGGTGAAATGGCTCAGCAGGTAAAAGCACTTGCTGTCAAGCCTGATGACCTGAGTGGTAGAAGGAGAGAACTGATACCTCAGGTTGCTCTCTGACCTTCACATGGTGTGGGTGTGGGTGTGGGTGTACACAAAAGTAATAAATAAGGGAGGTGGGGAAAGTAGGAGTGCTCAGCTGGGAGGAGAGGAGGGAGGGACATGCAGGGGACCATGGAGGGGGAGGGAACTCAGGAGAGGGAGAATGGTGGGAGGCAGGTGTTATGGAGGGAGAGTAGGGAAAATGGGAGTGTTTGGTCTGGGGAAGAAAGAGGTAGGTTGGATGGGGCGGGGAGAGAAAGGAAAGATGAATTGAGCTTGGGTGCCAGAGGAAAATGTGTTGGCTTGGGAACACCCTGAGAAATACACATACTGCGTCTGAACATTAGTGCATGTATACACCAGGGTGCTATATGGCAAGGAGCACAGTGCCAGACAGGAGAGATCTCCCTTTGAATTGTTGGTCAGAGTAATCCAGGACACTCCCAAAATAACGCAGGCTATTGCTGGAGCCCTTGTATCTCCAAGAACTTGAAGGTAGGCCCCTACTGCTGAAGACAGGACATATTTGGACACAAGACTTTGGGCAATGGAGCTGGAACTGACCTGGAAGCCTTCTCCCTGAAGACTAGCTCTCATGGTTCTAGAGGATACTATGCAAGCTGCTAAGGGAGAAAATCAATCAATGGGTCAACCTAGCTCTAAAGTGTAATGTCCACAATGACTGGCACAGCAACTACCTCTATTGGTGCAGTAGTGGCACTGTCATCTGGGGGGTGACCAACAGTTATCTAATTGGACTTGGAGCCCTCTCAACGGTAGGAACTCATTGTTGGCACTGTAACTATAGCCAAATACACATGGCTGGAGAGGTCATTGATCCTAGAGAAAACCCTATCTCTGTCATATCTCTAGACAAACAAAATTTCTTACCATATGCTAAATATGAATCCTTATATTTATAGACAAGTATACAGTATACCACTCATCAAAGAAGCTTCTTTTTACAACAGATGGAGGCTATTACACAATTCCACAACTGGTCACACAGAGAAAATATATATCTGAGAGATGCCCAGCCCTAGGTGATAGATATATCTATAGTGGAACCTCTACACCTAAGGTTCATGAAACATAGTGAACAGGGGTAGAGAGAACACTAATACATCCCTCAACTCTCCCCAGCAAAGCTTCCTCATACAATAGAATTCGATGCACACAGAAGTCCACAACTGGCTGAGTTTTAGAGAATAAGAGACTGTAGTGTATGTGTCCCTGGATAGGACTCCTGTATTAAACCTCACCCACCCAGGGCTCAGGGACCATTGTGAAAGAGGGGGTAGAAAGACTGTAAGAGCCAGGGATGGTCCATTAATATGGGGAAACAGAAGTTTCCAGGCCACTGTAAGCTTGCTCATGTGAACTTGCGGCAATGGTGGGGTCCTACATAGGACCCATGCTGGCTCAGTCAGATAAGGGTCCAGGGTGAAGAAAGGGAAATACGTGGCAGGTCAGCCCTAGTCTGGGATCTGTTGGCAACTGATTGCTGCTGGGTGAGGGAGAGTAGATCTTCCTTAAGATCTCTGACTAGACCCTAGTGGATAAACTTGAATTGAGGGACATCTAGGTACAGCTGTTTGACTGAATGGGACTTAACATGTAACAGAATGCATGAGGTCTGGTGGCGGGGGTATGTGAGTGCATGGATAGGGGAAGGGATCTAGATTTGATTGAGGGCTATTGTTTGAAATGCACAAAAACTCAATGAAAATATTAAATAAAAAATTTTCAAAGACTTTGTAATAGTTCCATTTCTAGAAATATATTTCAACAACATCATTAAACAAGCATATGTAAAATTCTATGTATGGGTATTATTTGATCTTTTATTTATTATAATGGAAACAAATTTATGATGAGGAGTGTTGATTAAGAAATAATAATACTACAAAAAGGTAATAAAATGTAATTTAAATTTTTTCTTTAAATAACAAAACAAAAATTCAATGATGAACCACCTCTGCAGGCAGTTACTAATCTGAAGAGACTCTACCAGGTGGCCTTTCCAGTTCTGGAACAAAGCTGGTCTCCCTTCTTCCAGGGCAAGAGGAGTCTGGATGGTTATAATCTGGTCATGATAGTGACCCCATTCACAGACGGGATCATAGTGGCCCCCAGAGAGGAAACATGTGCCAAGGTCGCTCAGTGGCAAACAAGAGGCAGGGCTGGGACCCAGCTCACCTCCTTTCTTGGGCAGCTGCCCCAAGAGGAGCCGAACACTCAGTGGCAAATTCCAGGGGCTCCACTGGGATTGCTCAACCGCCTCCACAGAGCACCGGGAAGGCCAGGCCCTAGGCTGGCAGAGAATGCCAGCTCTCTTCGCAAGTGAGGCCCAGAGCCTGCGCAGCCCCCTTTAAGGAGTGCTCTGCCTTCCAGTCTTAATTTTAGCTTGGAGGCCTGCCACAGGCAGCTTTTACAAGAGAGGCCGGCTGGAGTTATGCGGGACAGCTGTCAGCCGGCATGCTGGGTGGGGCCTATTTAGCCAGGGAGGGGCACCGGTCTGGAGACCCTGAACTTGGTCTCTCTGCCCCAGGGCTGTCAGCAGTGCTGGCCACAAGGCTCGAATCTCCTCCTGCGATTGCCCCAGCCCCATCATGATGACTGACGAGCACACGGATCTGGAGGCACGGATCAAGGACATTCACTGCAAGGAGATCGACCTGGTGAACCGCGACCCCAAGAATATTAACGAGGATATCGTGAAGGTAGGCATGTGCGGGTGGCAGCTTTATGGTCCTGATTGCCCCAGCCCCATCATGATGACTGACGAGCACACGGATCTGGAGGCACGGATCATCAAGGACATTCACTGCAAGGAGATCGACCTGGTGAACCGCGACCCCAAGAATATTAACGAGGATATCGTGAAGGTAGGCATGTGCGGGTGGGGACTTTATGGTCCTGCTTGGCTGTCAGTCAATTTCCCCAAAGGCCCCAGGATACTGTCTTCTCCAAACCTCAGCAAACCGGCTAACCTGCACAGGCCTTAGTAAGGCAGAAGCAAAGCATTAGCTACTTGCCTATGATCTGAGTGTTGATGGGGCAGAGGCGAGACACACCTAAAATGAAAATAAAATGCCTCCTTACAAGCAGCTCCAGGCGCCTGCTCTTGGCTCTGGCCCCAGGCCTGGAGGAATTGCCGGGAGCATTCGGAACCTGTGCCAAGTCGGTCGCTTTTCCGTGCCAGGGGCACTTCTGCGGTCTCCACAGTGGGCTTGGGGCTAATCTGAGGGCAGCTTCCAGCAGGATGGATGACCCTTGCGGGAGAGATACAGTCCCCTAGGGCAGTGCCCAGCATGTCCCTCTGGCACACCAGGCCTTAAAGGCCCTTGCTCCAGTTCCTTTCCTTCAGTTCCCTTCCTTGCCCCAGGGGTGGTGGCCAGAACCAGGCAGAGGTCTCTCAGCAGGTGCCTGGGGCCTGGACAGGAACACTCAAAACAGCCAACCTTAGGTCTCCACACCTCAACCTGGGATGATAGGAACAGCCTGGATGCCTCCAGGCACACATCCTCAGTTCAAACATCACCTAAAAGTCAGAAGGGTCCCTACAGAACAGAATTCCTCAGAGCAAGGCCCTCTGGGCCACCAACCTCAGAGTCCCCAGAGGGGCTGGGCATCTTGGAAACTGGGTTCTGAAAATCTCAGATCTGAGCTAGAATTACAGGCACAGTGTGTGATCCTTGTACAGTCACCCAGTGGTCTTTAAAAAATTAGACAGTACTTCAATCACTCTTTATTATCTGCCAGCGTGCCCTGTACCTGATTGTAAGTACTGTACTATTTTTGTATGATAATCCCTATGGTTAAATTTTACGTATTTACTTTTATAGAATTAGACTATGTTCCAGAGTGGTGCTAGGTTGACAGACAAACTAAACAGAAGGTACAGAGATGTTCGCCGCACCCACCTGCCCTGAAATTAAAAATTTTCTAGCAATCACTTTTTTAAAAGGGAATATCCTACAGTTGAAATTAATTTTTATGGGGCTGGTAAGATGGCTCAACAGCTAAAGGTGCCTGCTGCCAAAGCGGAGTCTAATCCCTGGGACCCACATGGTGGAAGGAGAACCAACACTGGCACGTTAGCCTCTGACTTCCACACAAGCACAGTGTCATGTGCACACACATACAAAATAAATAAATAAAATTTTAAAGAAATTAGTTTTATATTTTTATTTAATCCCCTCTATCCAAAATAGCAGCATTTATCTGCCCCATATGAAAGAATCACCTGGGTGATTGTATGGTACTTCTCTGTTTTAAAACTTTGTATATGTCCTGGACATCTCAGTGTGGTCTCCAAACTTCCTCAGAAATACATATTCTGGATTTAGAGTCCATAAAATTTAAAGTAGAAAACTGATTCACATGTTCAGATTGTACTGAACATTCTTAAAAGTTTCCCCAAATGGAATTGTGTTTCCATTTTTGTACGGCACAGAATTTAGAAACCTCTGGTCACACCAGCCATAGTTCAAGTGTTCAAAGCTGGCAGCCGCTGAACTTGGAGCACAGCCAAGGGTTCATTCTAAGGCACACCCGGAGCTACCCTCACCTTCCAGTAAGCCTTCCCCAACTCCTCCAGGGTAGCCAGCTACTCCCTCCTCTGTGTCCTTTCACTGGGGCAGTCCTCTGTAACAGTTCACATTGCCGTGTGTTATATGGATAGAAATCATTGGTGATAGAGATGAGGCTGCCATTTATATTTGATATGAAGCAAATTTTCCCAACTAGAGAAATGCAGCATTAGCTGTGGTTTCCACAGAGTGGTCCAGCAGAGGAACTGTCTAGGTTTCAACTCCAGACTCCTCCCTAAAAGTGATGACAATGGACACATCGCCTACAGTTTCTGAGCCTTGCTTCCCTCGTAACGTGGAACAGCACCATTTACCTCCACCAGGTGGAGAACCTGGGATAGCGCTGAGCAACAGAAATAACCATGTGTGGATGAGACGAGGGGGCTGAAGGTGTACAACACCATCCCCGCACCCAGTGAGCATGTGGTTAGTCAGAGTGAAACAGAGCCCTCAAGCAGCTTCCAGTCCAGAAAGCAAGAGCACTAAGCCACGGCCCTCTGGGCTCCCTGGTGGGTCTGCAGAGATAGGGGTGAAGGCCCATAGGAAAGCATGGTATCTTAGAGAAGCTGTGGTGGGCACCACATGCAAAGGGAGCTCTCAAGTTCTGCTGAGCCAAGAGGGAGCCAACTCTAGACCCCAGACCCAGACTATGATCCAAAGAGATGTGGGACAGCAACACTCCAAGCTTTGTGCAGCCTCCCTGGAGCAAAGAGGTGTCCTCTGCTGGCTGCCCCAAGCCCCAACAAACAACTCCAAAGACTAAATAAAAACTGCACAAATAATTTTATCCGAAGGAAATTCTTTGACCTTGTTTGTTCGGACATTGTCTACTATGGAAAGTTATTTGGCATTTTCTATCCTTTTTGTTTAAATGAGCCAGAAATAAAACTTTTAGAAGCACAGAACCAGGATAATAGTGTGAGACATGTAGCATACAAGATCCAAGGCAATTTGAGGTTTCTGTTACAGTAAGTTAAAGAAGAAAAAAAGAGAGGTGACGGTTAGGGGGACTGTGGCAGCCTGTATGAACAGGTCAGCCTTCTACCGCCTGGATTTCTATTGTCACCTGGGAGAGACACTAGACAGGATGAAAGGCAGAGTGAGAGAGAGAGCTAGACAAGACGGAGGCCGAGGAAAGGCTCAAAAGGCCCTGGTGCGTCCTAAGTGTCAGGATGGCCTCATGTGTCAGCAGGGTCTTCATGAGCAAGGATGAGTGACAGGGAAAAAATCCTCGATGCACCAGCTGCGTTTTGATGCTAAACTTGCTGTGTATCTTGAAAAGTCCATTTACCTCTCTGGGCCAGAGTCCCTGGTGTAGAAAGAGGCTGGGTAGAGAAGAAGGGTCTATACTCCCTCTGCCACCAGCAGCTCAAACTTCACACAGTAGAACCCAAGACAGAAGGGCATGAAGGAGAGAGACCCATCCGGGGAGCCCCAGCAGAAGAGAGGCACTTCCTTTCGGCACTGCCCTTGAACCCAAGCTAGAAAATGAGTGTCACAGGGAAAGGGAGACCTGTACACATAGCAGGCTTAAACTGTGGTCTCCCATGCTCTAGTCAGGCCCAGGACTGAGTGGAAGGTTGTGAGAGATGACAGCTGAGAACTGAGGAGAGCATGTCTCATCCCCTTCCCCACCCATCCCTGCTGCCAGTTTGGACATCCCTCCCATGTCACTGACAGCTTGCCCATACCAGACACCATGCTGACCCAGAGGAGATGGTGGCAGCTGGGTGCATACTGCCTGCCAGGCTATGAGAACATGAATGTGTGCCCAGGGTCCCGGGACTCAGCTCACCAGTGGATTTGCCCCTTGTGAGGGTGCCCCCTGCAGGCCCAGATTGTAGAGGCTCCATCAGCCTCCCCCATGCATGCCCTGGACCACAGCCCAACTCAGTACTTGGTATCATTTCTGAGAGGGCTCGTGACTGGCCCCAAGTCCCCCTCTCTCTGGCTCACACATGAGCACTGGGCCCCTAAGAAGCAACTTTAGCTTTCAGACTCAACCTCTCTCTCCTTCAGTGCCTCAAATCAGTCCCTCAGAAAATGAAGGAGATGTTATGTCTGAGGCCATTTCAGTACATGATTTCCCAACCCACCCTCAACCCACCCTGCCACAAAACATCCTCTTCCTCCTAGCAGCAGACTTCTGTTTGTCAGCTCAGGCCAGGAAACACCAGAGGAGCCAGCAGCCCAGCACTTCCACAACTGCTGCTCCCAGCTTTGGTGGATCTGGGACACCTTGTCACATAAAAATGAAGCAAATCCGATGCCTCTCCCTGGAAAGAATCCAGCCCAAGAAGATGAAACTAGAATAAGGAGAGGATACAGGGAAGGGTACTAAATGTGATAAGTTGGTGCCAGATGAGGTGTCCTGGGAGGTTAGGGGAGAAAAGTAACTTGCACCTTGGAAACTCAGAAGCCAGCTTTACATGAAGATGATATCCAAGGTGCGTTTAAAAAATGAAAAAGAAAACAAAAAAATAAATAAATAAAGGGCATTCAAGAAGAAATCAAATAAGCAATAATATGGAGCTTTTTCCACAGTGGTGGGAAGAATGTTGGGCAGAGTTGGTGAATGTGAAGGGCAGCTGTTGCCACCACCCCTTTCTGTATGCATGGCAGACATTGCTAATGGATTATAGCACTTTTATAGGAATCCAGGCCCACCAGCTAGTCAGAGTTGCTATCAAATGGAATGTCTTTGCTACTCTGGCTGCTGGAGAATACAGAACCATCAAATCAGGATAGGACAAAGACCCTGAGAGAGAACATGTGGGTGGGAAAACAGAAAGGGCAGTTTAGGCTGGATCGTAGTCATCTGACCGATGAGTCCTTCCTCACTGGCAATTCCTTCAGACTTTTGTAAGTGCCTTTCCCTCTGTAAATTTCCTCTCAAAAGGGCTATATGGGGGCTCTGGAGGAGACATCTCAGTTGTCAAAGAGCTTGTTACACAAGCATGAGGGCCTGAGTTTGATCCTCCAGGACCCACATAAAAAGTCAGGCATGGCCAGTGCCTATCTTTATCCAACATTGGGTCAGGGGAAACAGGAGGATCCCTGAGCCTTAAATACCAACCAGCCTGGCTAAATAGGTGAACTCCAGGTTTGGTGAGAGACTGTCTCAAAAA